CATGAAGTGACCAAATTACGGTGTTTGCCAGGATGATTCTGGCCCTTGGGCCTCATGTTTGACAGTCCTGTGGTAAAATATGTTTAGAATGAAGATGTTAAAGGTTGGATAACAACAACTGGTTATTATTATTTCAATCATTAATCATTACTAAAATCTCTACATTTCTACCAGTAGTCTTTTTAGCCTTGAGTCACAGCAGAATGGCAACAGTAATAATAACCAAGCTAAGCTGAACTTTGAATAGTACACTATTATTGCATATTTCATACAGGCAGCAAATACTAAAGGACCTCTTTAGGTCTAGCACTACTCGGCTTAAAACAATTTAAAGAAAATCATAAGCACTTTTCTCTGTGCTGAGTTAGTAACTGTATAAATCACTGCAATAAACACTGTAAATGTGGTGACAAGAAACATCCTCTGTGGGAGGATATGAGCTGCGTTCGGTGCAGCATTTTCACATTTTTCCTGTCTGAACCTACAAAAGTTAGGTAGATGATATGCAGGGCAACAGCTAGAGAGAACTTTAAAAAAAAGTTCATTGTAGCCCCAAATAGAGGATAAGTATGTAAGTTCAGCAGAGTGGGAGTGGATAACTAAACTCAGCTGCATGCTGGGTAAAGCAGACGGGGGTAAGAGCGGGTAAATCTGATGTGTCAGATTAGGCTGTGCATGCCAGCACGGGTTTCATGCTATGTCGACACAACAAGGGACACCCTGCCTGCTTTCACGGATGTCAGAGCAGTAATAACACTAATGGACATCATGACAGACTCATCCTCTTGTGGAAAAACAGAAGTTTGAAGAGAGGCCAGGTGCTGTGTCTTGTTTGCAGAGATGAACAAGAGGGCAGAGCAGAAACTACTGTGGCATACTGATGCTGGTACAAGGCGGATGCTGTCCTCTTAAATCTGTCCTCTTACCTCCTGCTATCATAACACTGCTCTTTACTTGCTCCCCCACACTACTACACTCGTGTGATATCACAAGGACATATAAACATAAAGGTGATGTTTTATGAGCATCTCAGTTCTAAGCTTTATACTGTGTGTCACACAGACTGTTCAATCAAGATGGAAAAAAGAAGAAGCAGCAAGACCGACCGCTTTAGTAAAGTCAAAACTAAGATTTTGCATTTTTGTATGTTATAGAACATCTGTTCACTAGATATTATGAAGCACGTTGGTTTGGTACATCTAGAATAAAAGACTGATTAGAAGCAAGTCATGCATCTTGGCATTGCCTTCAAGCCTTCATTTTAAATTCCTTATTTACATAAAAGGGGAGACAGCAACAATTTTCATTTCTATGGTCTGAAGGACTCGCATTCATGAAATCAAAAGACAGATCTGATTTTTAAAAATGATTTTACATTTTGATGTCGCCCAAAATGAGATTCTTCAAAGCCCACAAGTTATAGTACAACTGCTACAACACAAACACTGCAAAACATTACAGCTTCATTAACTGCTCAGTGCAGAGCGCCAACACATCGACATCTGTGGCTCGTTCCACCACAGCACTAAACTAATGCCATGCTAATTCACATGAATAAGTTAACCAAGTGAAACAATAACTACACCTTCATATATCATTTCTGTGATAAAGAGCAGAGATGCCTTGTAAACTTCAACTGTGTATAAGTCAGTGTGACACTACGGCTGGCTCATATATTTCCTGTTTGGGCTGTTAGCTGGTTCTTTGAGGGCAAAACCAGGACAACCCTCATCTTCTTACTATTACAGAACTATCTCCTGTAGTTAGCCACATATTACAAAGCAAACTTTTCCCA